GAAATCGGCCCATAGGGCTGTGTCTGGGCCGAAGGCCAAGCCCGTGGCCCTGTGAGGCACGGCGTGCCGTGCTGTCCCGTTGGCTATCAGGCCGTGCTGGCACGGGCCCGGGCCGGCCCATTGGCCATCTATAGCATGGACCGTTCCACGGCAGGCACCCTCACACTGCGCCTTCACAACACAAACCCGTGTCAGATTCCAGCTGGTGAGTGATGACGTGATGATGAACACGTCTCGCGTGGACTGTCTACAGTCTAGTTTGCATCTCTGGACCTGCCTTTCTCGAATGGATGAGTACGTGCCCATCGTCAACCATCATACCCTGCGCCCGGCGGCCCGGGGCGGCCGGCGGTCTCCTCCAGGCTCCAGCTCCAGGTCGAGGTGCATGCGCGGAAAACACCAAGCGGACCGCGCGCGGCGCCGGCGCCACATGCTGCACCCCGGCCGTTCCTTCGTTTCGTTTCCCATTCCAGGCCGGTGGCTCGATCGGCATCATCGCGACGGGCGCCGCGCGCGCGCGCATGACGACAAACCGTATCATCAGTTCACAGGGCTAGCTAGCTTCAGGCGGTTTGCATGCCGCGTGTTCCGTGCCGTGCCGTCGCAGGCCGCCAAGCCAGGCGATCGTCCATCGCAGCCCCCAACTGTGTGCCGTGAGGTCGACCGGGCGAGAGCTAACAAAAGGAAACGAGACAAGAGGAACTAATTGCATGCCGTGTGGCGCGCTCTCGTGATGCGTTTTTGGTCATAATAACATGCAGTTTCTGGCTTGCGTCGTGCTCTCGCACTGCTCAAACATCTGCTAGTGTCCTATTAGGTTGTTGTTTGCATTTTTTTTGAACTTATATTGTAAAAGCTTGGATGTGCTGTTCTTTTTTTAAAAAAAATTAAAATGTCCAAAGTGCACTCATTTTTAGCTTTGGACTGCACCTTTGGTGGTGCAGCTAGTAATAAAACAAGAAGGTTAGAATGATCTTTTGTTTCTATCTAGAAGCTAGTCCAAGCCGGGTTGTCTCAGATTATGGAAACTAGGGTAAAAGCTAGGATATTTGGATCCTCTCCTAAACTGTAAAGGTCAGATTGGGAATATGGTGGCATACAAATATGCCGTGGATTATTATATAGAGGCCCTAAATTCTATAGACCTTGCTAGAGGGTTGGGGAAGAAGAAATCATATTCATTTATGGGCCTCAATAGATGGGTTGAACCATGTGCAACATCAATTCTTGCATCTCCCATTTGTTAAGTTTAGTTCAAATTAGCACTGTAGGTGACACTTTAGGTTAGGGGTCAATGGGTCATGGTTAGGTCGCTCATTGAGGTGGTGGTGCTGGCAAGGCGAGACGGTAATGGGTGAAGCTACAAGCTCGCCTTTCTGGAGATAAGGAAGGGAGCTTGGAGGAGAGGGAGAGAGAGAGGGGGATGACAATGGCAGATGACCTGATATATATTGATTTTGTTTGGTTTAGTCTGACTCAAAAATTAATAATGGTAGAGCACAATATATAAGTAAGGCAACTCTCACACATTTTGCTAATCTCTTTCGTTGAGTTAGACCTGATGCCTTGTTTGTTATGGTCTCCAGTCGACCTAGACCTGGTGCGGTGTTGGCTCGTGTGTATGGCGAGTTTTTTTTAGGGGCCAACGACGGGGAGCCCCACCTGAATTTCATTCCAAAGATGCCAAGTTGCCTTGGTGGTGGAGGGGCCGTAGCCCAGTTACAATTGTCTGGTTACAAAATTAAGGAAGGAGGAGGAGTTTACATGTTCGAAGTGAGATTACACCAAAAGAGATGAACAGGGGTGTTATTCCTAGGCAAACGACATTGCCACAGCTTGGTGTTTTGACGACAAGCAGCGATCAGACGTTCATGGTTAGGGTTCATTCCTCGAAACACCACATCGTGCCGATGCTTCCATAACTCCCAGCAGTAAAGCAAGATTAGAGAGGATATGGCGTTTGCTGGAGCATCGTGGGGGCTAGTGGTCTCCCACAGCCCCTGAACAGGGGCGTTTGCTGGAGCGTATGGCGAGTTGGACCGGTACCCGTTGTGCATGGTAACATATATTTGTCACCATGCTTAAATTGTTCCGTATTTGAACTTTCTTAGATTTTTTGCCCTATGTCGCGTCCATGAGGGGAAGCCAAGAGCTCTATTTGTACAGTTGTGCAACACGACTCCACCTTGATTTTTATCTGTCCTTCGTGACTTGGAGGATGGCGTCCACTGGGTTTGGTAGTGGCAGAAGAAGTACTGATGTTGTTACGACCAGGAATCAAGGTCTAGTGCTCTATTAGTATACACTGGTATTGTACAACTTCATTTTTATCTATCCTTCTTGACTGGATGCTAGCATCCACTAGGGTTGACAAGCCGGCTTGCTGCACACATGGACATATATACGCTGTGTTTCATGACCCTTCTGCGGTCTGCCCCATGCAAAATGGACCGTCCAGTGCAGATGCAACTTCGGCGGCATGCCAAAATACACAATTTCTACAGGAGCGCGACCATCCTTGGCCATTATGTGGACGCAGACACAAGCACACTACGTACGTACGTTTGCACAGCGAAGAGACCAAGCTGCAGCTGGAATTCAAACAGAACGGTCTGTCGGTCTCTGTCTCTGAAAACCGGAGAGTTTCTGAACCAGAGTTTACAGGATCACACTCGTGCCTGTAAACGCATTGGATACGGACACATATAAATGTATGTATATAGTTAACTTTTATCTTGATTTTGATTTATGTAACCATAGATACTATTTGTTATGTCGGATATAAATTGATATTAGCATTATATGTCATATCGGACTCTGAGTATCTAATATGATATATGAGCATAGTATAGATATTGAATATTCATACTGATTATCTATGTACTCCCTCTGTCCTAAAAAGAATGCAATTCTAGGTGGGATGGAGGGAAGACTTGTGTGTAGGCATGCTTGGATCAGCTATGACTGATTACTAGCTGGAGCTAAAAGTTAGCCTAAATCAGATGGAGTTGGTTATCTAATTGGCTAACAACCAATTGAAAGCTTTGTAAAATGAGCTCACCTATTCAGATGCGTTAGGGCTAATCTTAATTAATTTTAGCTAGCTATAAGAGTTAGCCCTTAGTATCAAACATAGTACTTTGTATAGAGCTTCAATTAGACTGTATATGTACTTGTTTTATTGCATACTAACTCCATCCATAAAATAATACAACTAGGGATTTGTATAAAACAAATTAGTTTTAACTTTATAAATAGTATCAATATTTATATCTCTGACTAAGTTTATTACAAAAATATATCTAATTAGTTTTATGATATTTTTTTATTAAACCTCAAATTACTCTTCCTCTTGTTATTTGAGGGAGTACCGAATAAAGCGCGCATGTGCGACCTGAACCTCCTTCGCCGAGCTAGTATGAAACAAAACTGCCTGATGGTGATCGATCGCATGGCCAACCTTGCAACCCCTGCCCGCACGGTGTTCGAGGAGAGCCCCAACGGGGCAGACCTCCCTGCGGCAGGCTGGCATAGGCTAGCAGACGGGGAGAAAGACCAGCGCGACGTCGAGCACGGCGGCAGGGGGAGGGCCGGAGCCCGGAAGGGCGCGAGCGGAACGGCAGCATGGGCAACGGCAGGTCGGTCGGCGACGCAAACCGGGCGGAGGCCGACTGGACGATCGAGACCCCACGCGGACGGCCGCCCCGCCCCTGCCGCTGCCCTCGGTGCCGACAAATCCGCTACGCTAGCCGGCCGCTTCCGCGTGCGCCACCCATGTCGCCGGACACCCGCAATAATTCACGTCTTGCACAAATCCACCACCCGCTCCCAAATCCAAATCCTTCCCTCCATGCCCAGCTACCTGCACTGCCCTACCCACCAGGCCACCACCACCACCACCCCCACCCGTTCGAGAAGAGACAACTCCTCCCTCCCCTAGTCCCCTCCTCTCACTTTCACACTCTATTTGGCTTTATTCGTTTATCTTATAATCCGTCTTTTTTAATTTGCTTTTTCAGCTGAAATAGTATTTTTCTCTCACAATAAATCAGCCGGAACAATGTTTCGGCTTATTTTTTCAGCGAAGAGAACGAGGCCTTTTAAGCATCCCAGGCCTCGCCTATGGCCTATCCTCCTCCTCTTTCCTGTTCCATTACACAGACACGGTGCACTCTACAGTGCTGCAGCAGCAGCTGCTAATCCTGCCCTTCCTGTTCCATTTATTGGAGCCCTCGCTGCTCGTAGTCGTAGCTCCAGCTGCTGCTGCCGCCGCCACAGGGAGAGCTAGCGAGGTGGTATAGCTAGCTGTAGCTGCTGCTGCGTGGACGGAGGACGGAGGGGGGTTGCTGTTGCAGGCTCGCAAGTCGCAGCTGCCGCCTCAGGGAGGAGCTCATTACTCCCTTGTTGCGAGCTGCAGTTATTGCTACCGCGCGCTACTGTATAGAGACGCCTTGCCAACAAGATCTCATGGAGAGGATGCAGCTGCAGCTGCAAGGGCCCATCGCCTCTTCGCTGGTAAGCTCACCTACACACCCAGGGAGCTGAGGAGGCAGGCAATGGAGTTATGGAGCAAGCAGCTTCCATTTCCAGCGGCAGCTTCTCTCTGGAGGAAGCTCGTCGTAAATGCAATGGAGTATTAATTCCCCTGCTCCTGCTGCATGCCGCTGCCGCTTCCTTTCCCTTCCCTGCCCTCTCTTGTTCCTCCTTTTCTCCTTCCCTAATGTCGTCGCAGTGGCAGCAGCTCTGCCGGCACGCACGCAAGCACGCACAATTCAATGCGCGCCACTGTACTCGATGCTCTTCCTAGGACATCGACTACTAGGAGTCTCTTTTGCTGTTGTACTTGCTGCTCCTGTTTCTCGATCGGCTTGCTGATGATGTGCCTTTCTTGCTCCCCTTCCGGCGATGGCGTGGCGACGACGGTGGCGGTAATGGAACAGTGGGCGGACAAGCAGCAGCAGCAGGCGGCCAGCACCAGCGCCGCGGCAGCGGCAGCGCAGATGCCCTTCCTGGCGCTGCTCCAGGGCGCCGGCGTCGTGGTGGAGGCGGAGGAGCAGCAGCAGCATGACGGGCGCAAGCGGCAGGCCTTCGCGCGCGCCGTCTCCGACCTCGACCTGCTCGAGAGCTGCGTCACGCAGGCGGTGGCTCCTGCGGCTGCGGCGGCAGCGTCTGCGCCCGTGTCCAGCAGCACCGAGAGGCGGCGGAAGCGGCCGAGGCCCCGCGCGCGCGCCGCGCCGCCGCATGAGAAGCGCAGGAAGGCCGAGGAGGCCGAGAGCCAGCGGATGACGCACATCGCCGTGGAGCGCAACCGGCGGCGCCTCATGAACGACCACCTCGCCTCGCTCCGCTCCCTCATCCCCTCCTGCTACATTCCCCGCGTAAGCCAAAGCCATGCAACGCCCATGCAGACGAGACAATGCTGCGTTCCGATCCGTACGTCTCTGACGATGCAACGATTTGCATGCAGAGCGACCAGGCGACAGTGGTGGGTGGCGCGATCGACTACGTGAAGCAGCTGGAGCAGCAGCTGGTGGCGCTGCAGGCGGCCGCGGCCGGGCGTCGCGGCGGTACCGGCGCCGGCGCAGCAGTGGCCACGGCCGCGTCGGCCGCGTCGGACGGCGTGTTCGTGTCCCCGCAGTACGCGAGCTACTCGGACTCGCGCGGCGGCCTCGGCGCCGGCGTGGACGTGGAGGCGACGGCCGCGGTGGGCGGGCACGTGCGCGTGCGCGTCGCGGGGAGGCGGTGGCCGGGGCGGCTCGTACGCGCCGTCGCCGCGCTCGAGGACCTCCGCCTGGCGGTCTTGCACCTCGCCGTCACCTCCCTCGGACATGACGCCGTCGTGTACTGCTTCAACCTCAAGGTCAGCGAGAAGTGTCATGCTCATGCATGTCCCGTCTCCTCCCACGCACTTCCATTGCTTGTGTACTCGTCCCGTCCTCGTCCCTCGTTTTCCCCCAATCATGCATTTGACTGGTGCAAAGTGCAAAAGAGTACCCCTTTTTTTCTTTCCCGTTTTGTGTTAAAAAACTGCACTTGATTTGAAATCCACCTGTGCAAATGTGGAAGAGAGTACTGTATATTTGAAAAAGAAAAACGTGACTTTAAAAACTGCACTTGATTTGAAATCCACCTGTGCAAAGTGCAAGAGAGCACTCTATGTTCGACAAAGAAAAAACATGACTTAAATTCGGGAGGAGTTTTTTTTTTAAATTAGAAATTCGGTACGAGTAATTTCTTTGCATTTCGTTTGAAAAAAAAATAATGTGTATAGACGACAATGCTGCAGTAGGAGACTAGGGAGTACATTTTTTTTCTTCGTTTCCTATAGTTTTTAATTAGAAGCATGAAGCATCCTAAATAACAACCTCTAGTGCTCTTTTTTACCCAACCACTTGGAGATGCTCTTAGAACATGATATTAACAAAGAAACTCAGACTTAATCATGGGACAAAACTAGCATTGTCTAATAGTACTTTTAATGTTGTATTACTAGTATGATACTAGATATCATATATACTAGTAATTAATACTACATTAGCAGAATTATCTAAGTGTTTTTTATTATAAATTTGGTAGGAGTAAATTCTTTGCATTTCGCTTTAAGAAAATAGTATGTTCATGACATTGCTGTAATCTATGGCCCTGTTCGGCTGGTCTATAAGTCGTTTGTGCTGATTTGTACGACTGATTTATTGGGAGAGAAAAATATCTTACCATAGCTGATAAGACGGCTTATATAAGCAGCCGAACATGGCCTATTTTCTTTCACGTTTACTAGGTGTCAGTCGCCTGAATTATGACTTTTGTTGGGCAGACATGTTTTCCTCCGTTTTGACTGCTTGTGAACACAATACCAGTATCAATAGTTGTTGCTAACTGTTGCCGGAAAATAAGTTATATTTCAGGCACCTAAGATATAGCAAATCCCATTTTATTTGTTTCCAATAGTTTTTAGAAGCATCCTAACTAACAACCTTTAGTGCTCTTTTTCACCCAAACACGCTCTTAGAACATGACGTTAACAAAGAAATTCAGACTTAAATAAATTTGGGACAAAACTAGCATCATCTAATAGTACTGCCAATGTAGTAGTATTTCTATTATGATACTGCAGTATATCTTTGTGAGATTGCGCAACACGCTGACATGCACATGCACTCGATGCAAGCTGCAGCAGCAGCCATGATGGTTGCAGAAAGCGAACGGATTGTTTTTCCTCGTGGAGCGTTGCGGTTGCGTGGGATCTCTCAAACCAAACCGCCGTGCAGTGCATGGGTCTCGATGCCTTGTTCGTTTCTGTTAGGCAGGGCTTGGAGTATGTAGATGGAGTGTTCGAATACGATGAGCCCCTGGTGGCCTGGTAGGCTGCTTGTACTGGTGGCCTTGCATTTGGTACAGGCAGGCATGAGACTTGAGACCACCGTCCACCGGGCTCAAGTTACAGACAGATTAGCCCTTACAAACCTTAGCTTTCCCTGCCTGTCTGTTTCCCTCTTGTCCTTGGAATCTGCGACGCAATACAGAAGAGACCACAGCTCTCGCTAGCTCTGCATGCCTCTGTGGCGCGCTCGGCTCGCCCCTAACCTTATACTACACCACTTGCTACTATAAAGCTAATGGTGCACATGTCTGTGTACGTGCAGATGGAGGAAGGGTGCGAGGTGGCGACGGCGGACGAGGTGGCGACGGTGGTGCACCAGATCTTCGCCTACGCCGCCGGCGCATGCTGCTGACGACGGCGGCGGCCGCGGAGGACGGGGACTGTAAGTCAAAACCACGGAGGCGGGGCAGGCATGAGTCATGTACACGACGAACGCGGGCGCAGAGGAGAGGACGACGGCAGGGCCACCGGCCACCAGAGGACAGGAGGACATGCGTACGTAGAGGTAGACTGGTAGAGCAGGGGCAGCGCTAGGGGACCAAGCACGCTTGGCGCAGGTGCGGCCACCATGGCAACGGCTGCGCTGCATGCAGTGGTCCATGCGTGCAGCGCAGAGACGAGCAGGAGACCTCTACTGTAACTTGACTGTTGTTTATTTGGCTGGCAGGAATGGTGAAGAGTGAAGACTGTAGCTAGACTGAAGGCTGAAGAGAGTGGTACAACAGTGTTGGGGTGGCAGGGCTAGCTGTAGACCTGTATTTTTTTTTATCCCTTGTCTTTGGAGAGCCATGCATCCGTGTGTGTGTGTGTACGGTTTTATATAGACCACGCACAGTATCGATCGTGTGTGTACGTAGTTCAGCACTGCTGCTGGGGTCCCTGTTTGCAGTTGCGCGGTGCCGTGCAACCTTCTGGCCTGAGCTGGCTCTGGCTGCAGCGTCGGCCTCTGATGTCTCCGCGGCAATGCAAGCCCCATCTCTGCGTGGCGTGCGTCTGCATGACGACTGCGGCGCCGTGCATGTCCTCTGCTGTCGTCGTTGCCGCGCCGCACCCGTCTGCATGCTTCTCTCTGGGAGGACGGGGGACGGACAGGCTTTGCCTCATCGGGTGCTGTCGCCATGTACAGATGCCCTCTCCTGTGTGTGCCAGGCTGAGCGGCGCACGCCACACTGCCACAGGCCTACAGTAGTGTACTATGCGACTGCGACTCTGCGCGCAATGCAAGCTAGGGGCCGCGGCTCGATCGGCCATGGTGGCCGGTCAATGCGCCCATGCCATCATTGCCAGCCACTGGGGCGAAAAGCTTTTGCCCCGATCCGCCGATCCATCCATCCTTGCCCTGCGCCGAAACCAAACCGAGCGTGGACGGACGTGCCGTGCCCCGCTCCGCTCCGCGCGTCCCGCGTCGCGAAATCATTCTCGGCGTGCTGCCCCGCACCGCAGCCCGCAGGCAGGCAGGCCGATGAGCCGAGCCAAAAGCTGCCGTGCCGCGGCCGCCGGCCCATGCGTGTGCGGTGCAGCCGTAGCGGCGTAGCCTGTAGCATAGCTGTATGTAACCGTGCTCAGGCGGGTCACTGTGTTGGTGCGGTCTGTTTCCCCCACCGGCGCGCTCCGGGCCTCCGGGGCTTTCGCAGCATCGCTGTCGCTCTGTCGGTCTCGGCACGGCGAGGATCGGATCGGAGCACCGTCGGCCGCCGGTGGCGTCGGGTCGGCGAGCCAAGTCAAAACAGAACGGAGGGCGGCGTACCGTTCGTTATTGATGCCGCCGCGGGTACGCGCACGCACGCACGAGCAGGACTGCATGACACGAGGGCCGGGCCGATCGCCGATCGCTGCCTGCCTGTGTGATTCGGCGTACGTGCGTGAAGTCACCCATGTCCATGTGTGCAGCAGCGCCAGCGCCTGCTTCCTCATGTGCCCGCCATTAATGACCTGGCGCCGTGCTTCAGAGTCCACCACTTGAGGCCTTTTCATCTCCTATTCCTCTTTTCCTCTTAGGCCCCGTTTAGTTCCCTCCAAAAGCTAAAAATTTTTGCGCAGTAAGTGTCACATCGAATTTTACGGCACATGCATGGAGTACTAAATATAGACGAAAAAAAAACTAATTACACAGTTGGGTGAGAAATCGCGAGACGAAACTTTCGAACATAATTAGTCCATAATTAGACGCTAATTACTAAATACAAACGAAAGTGCTACAGTATCCAAAAACCAAAAAAATTCAGATCTAAACGCGCCCTTAGTACTTGCAAGCCGTGCCGTGCGCCCGTGCTGCGGTGCTGGGCTCCAGAGGCTGTTATCCGTCGAGGGTTATCATAATTAAGAGTCAATCTTTCAAGTATTATTTTTGTAATTTTTTCGTTTCACATCGTACTTCTAACTTCTAGTCATGTGAGACATGTCGGGTCAGGTCATATATTAACACTATAACTCTTTCGGTTTAAGCATGAGTCTTTACTTTGTCTTAAGCACACCCTATAGCTTGCCGACCCTGTCTTACTGTTGTGCCGGCGGCCCTCAGAATATCTTTTTGTGTGTGTGTTCTCCTCGTCACTATTTTTATGATTTTTTCATGAATTTCGTAATTCTTTCGAGAATTGGAGGAGTATAATTGTATAATAAATAAGTTATTTATTAATTGTATTTCAGTGTTGTATATGCTTACATGTCATTTCTCACTGCTACAGATTTAGACATTACTGCCGGCCTCATCATTGTCGGATTCGTGAGAACCGGCAGTGATGTACGCTTCCGAGCTTGAAAATGAGAAAATGATTGAGGCTGGGCTAAAACCGACACTGAAGGACCACATAACTGCCGGTTGTTAATACAAACCGGCAGTAATGTCTATTTACTGTCGGTTGAATTACTAAACCGGCACTGATCCATACTCCCGGACCCGAAAATTTTATCCATCCCAGTTAACTCCGTACGCCTCCCAACTCCCAACTCTATCTGCTCCTCCCAACTCCCTCCCAACACCACGCCTCCACACCACACCACGGCAACCCGACAGACCACGGCAACTCTATCTCCTCCTCCCCACCACGGCAACCCGACACACCACACCACACCACGGCAACTCTATCTCCTCCTCCCCACGCCTCCACACCACGGCAACCCGAGAGGATCCACCCCAGCGCGGGCACGAGGCCACCGCGGGCGCGGTCGTGCGGCGACCGGTGCGAGCACAGCCGCCGCCGGAGTTGACATAGAGAAGGAGGGGGAGGAGCGCCGCCGTGGGGAGGCCAGATCCGACCTCCACGCCACCGCCGGAGTAGGGGGAGGAGCGCTGCCGTGGGGAGGCCGGATCCGACCTCCACGCCACTGGATCCGGCCTCCACGCCGCTACCGGAGTTGGAGGGAGAGGAGCGCCGCCGTAGGGAGGCCGGATCCGGCCTCCACGCCGCTGCCGGAGTTGAAGGGGGAGGAGCGCCGCCGTGGGGAGAGGGTCGCCGCCGCCGCTCGCCTCAGCCCCCGCGTTGCCCGCGCCGCCGCCGCCTCGCCCGCTCCCGGATCCGGCGGTGAGGGCGAGGAGGAGCCCGGATCCATCCTCCCCGCCACTGGATCCGGCTTCCCCACCGCCGGATCCGGCCTCCTAGCCTGCATCGCCTGAGGGAGAGAGGGAGGGGAGTGGGCCGTCGCGCCGGAGGGGAGGAGGGGCGCGCTCGCCGAAGGAGGAGGAGGCAACCGCGCGCGCCCGCCAGAGAAGGAGGAGGCAGCTGCACTGTGTCTCTTCGCACGATAATGTTGTGTGAATCAATTTGCTCCTTTTTCTGTGATGTACGAATCGATTTATGGATTGGTTGATTTGTGATGTGTTGAACCCTTCTCCTTCGTCTGCGACGCATGAATCGATTTGTGGATGAGTTTTTCTGATGTGTTGAATCCGTCATTTATCTGTGATGTATGAATTTTTTTCTTGGATGAAATGCTTGATGTAGTGGCTGCGGTAGCCAGCCAGCATGGTGGCGGTAGCGGCGGTAACGAGTATGCTCCAGCCAGCATGCTTGTTAGATTGCTTTTTTGTTTTGTTTTTCTAAACCTTATCACCGCCGGGTGAAGAACCGGTAGAAGTAGCCAGCGAGCATCACTGCCGACATGCCACTGCCGGTTCAAAATCTGACAGTGAAGGGGGATTTTGAACCGGCAGTGATGACAAAAACTGGGGTAGTGTCTGTATTGTGCCGGCTCAGACACGGTTTGGAATAAGAGCGGGGCAGTGTAGACATCGTGCCGAGATTTTCAGCATGTTCGTTTGTTGGTTTCTGAGCTGATAAGCTCGACTGGTGCTGGTTTGTTGTGAGAGAAAAATACTGTATCATGGCTGATAAATCCTGACTGAAACCAGCGAGCGAACAAACTGTTTACGGGTACTCTACATGACAACCTTGTGTTTTACTGTATGAACCAAAATATTTTGTGCTGTCTCGTCGGACGATGCTAAACGACCGTGGCTTCGCTGGCCTCAGACGAGGCGGTCCATGTCCCAGCTCTGCTAGGCTCCGGCGGCCGCCGCATGCATGCATGGCGCATCGATACTTCGCTGCGCGACTCGCTGTCCTGCTTCGGCACTGCGATATGATATGTGACCTGGCGCCGGCAGCGGCAGATGAAAAGCGAAAGTCCGGGATGCAGCATGCCACTCGCCGACGCCGGCGCCGCCCAGGGAGGTGACGACGCGTTTCGCTGTCCTGCTTCGGCACTGCATCATGTGAGCGATTTGTGCAGCGACGGCAGCGATCGCCGGCGCCGCCCAGCGATAAGCGGTCGTGGTACGGACCCTGTCCCTGCAGAGACACCAGTTCCGCTGAGGACCGTGCCCGGTGCCCCTGTCTCCCTGACTCTGAGGGCTGGCTCTGCGCGCTTGGACTGGTCGTACGGATGCCATGACAACCGTATGATTGTGCCAGTGTGATGCTATCATCTCTTGAGCCCATCAGAGCTTTCTTCATCCATTCATCATCAACAGAACAAATGGTCGCCCAGACGAGACAACCGTAAACATGGGCTGGGCGCTGGGCCAGAAACCCGTCTCTCTCCTCCTCCGCCGAAATAGCTCACGGGTACGTGTCAGCCCAAACAATCCCTCTCGTCCAGCCGCAAAGGGGCGCGCCATCTTCACGGGCTGGGCAGTTCGCCGGCCCCATTCCGGCACCAGTCGCCGCTAGGGTTTCGTTTCATCACGGACGTGGCCGTCAAGTCTTTCTGCGTCGTCCGCCGCGCCGGCAGTTAAACCCCGTACCCGACAATAAACCCCGCGCTGCCCGCCTCGTTCCACGCCGCCGCGCCTGCCAGCAACCTTCTCAGTCCTCACGCGCAGCTTGGATAGGCAGCTCAGAGCTCGCGAAC